AGGAGAATTCTTCAGGTAACCTACTGGTCCCAGAATAATGAAAGTCTCAAAGTCACCCCAATCAACTCATATGCTGCAGCCTGAAACAGATATCCCCAGGCAACCCGCTGGTGCATAAGCAAGAGACAGTGCTTTTTATTATAGGCCACTGAGAATTTGTGATTTTTTGTTACACAGCATTAAGTATGAATAGCTGACCAAGAAAGGCAAGAACCAAGGAAGGCCGGGGAGCAAGAGCCATGACTAAGATCATGCCAAAAGAACCAGTTGGCAAGATTATCTCTGCTTGCTCCACTGGCTGTTGCTACTGCGGAACTGTCAATTCCACCGCTATGAGTATGTTAGAAGGCAGTGCTTTTCAAACTTTAATGTGCCTATGAATCATCTGGGGATCTTGTTAAAATGCAGATTTCATAGGTCTGCGTGGGGTCTGAGAGTCTGCATTTCTAACAAGCTCTCAGGTAAGTAGTAAAGTTCTGAATTATTCTGCTTTACCCCTTAAGAGTCAAAGTCACAGATGGGAGCATCCAAATGTGTGAATCTAGGTCACACATCCATGCCCTAGCTGCTGGGTGGCAGGGAGAGGGGTGACTTTCTGTAACGGGTGGGAAAGCACTGTATTGTCCTTGATATTTTACAGAGAAAAGAAGGGAGTTCATTCTCAACCATTACTGTGTGTCAGCATTACTTGGGGGTGGTTTAAAGATCAGATTCCTAGGCACCAACCCAGACTTTCTGAATCTTATTCTCTGGGTGATGGGAGCTGGAATTCTTCATAAAATATATACCTCAGGTAATTCTGATGAAGGTGGTCTAGGGATCACACTTTAACATGAATAAAACCCAGGAAACACGAATTCAATCAACTTCTTGCCCCACTCACCTGAGTAAAGGATCTTTATTGGCACATATCTTTTCTCTCCTCGATGAGAAAGCCACAAACTTCTGTCTGAAGGTAATCCCTCCACCTGAATCACCCATCATCCTCTTTGCTTTCATCAGTTTTCTCCTTTTTTATTTTCTAGCTTCAATGTATTTCCTTTCTTTGAGACAATCTTCTCAGCATACTAATATACTCAAGTGTTTTCTACATTAACAACAACAACAAAAACGCCGATGGTTCCTTCCCTGCTCTCGCTATACTACCTTATCACTTTCCTTTTCTTTCATGGCCAAACTCCTCCTTTCTACACTCAATGTCTCATCTTCCTCACTCCCAATTGCTTCTCAACTGTTGCATCTGGAGTTTGCTCTCACCATTCCATCAAAATAATTCCTGTGCAAGTTACCAATAATTTCTTAATGCCAAATTCAGTAGACACTTTTTATTCCTTATCTTTCTGCTGCATTTGATGCTGTTGACTTCTGCCACCTTGAAACTATTTGGTTTTCCCTATTCTATAATACCACTCTTTTTGTGTTCTTTTCCTATTGCGTTGGAAGTTTCTTCTCAGTCTGTGTTCCTCTCTTCCTCTTTTGGAATGTGTGTATTATTTAGGGTGCCATCTGTAGCACACTGAGTTATGACTTCCGCTAATATCTATATGCTCATTCAGCCACCCACACCTCCCTCTTCCCTGAGTCCCAGATCTGTATACACAACTGCTACCTGAACATCCTTACCTGGATATCTCTCAGGCACCTAAAACTCAATATGCTCAGAATTGAATTCATGACCTTTCCCTTCAGGCCCACATGTTCCCACATCTATACTTCCATCATCAGCTTGGTTGCCCAGACAAAAGCTGGGATTTATCATATTCTTTCCTTTCTATCTTTCTTCCCAATACCCAGTCACCAGGTCCTGTTGATATCACCACCTGTGTAGCTTTTGCATCCGTCTTCTCCTGTCTATCTCCAGGCCACTATCTGTGTTCTGACAGTCATCATCTGAAGTACTGTTGTAACTTCCTTACTGATCTCCTTTTCTCTACCAGCGCCCTCCTCTGCATTACCACATGGTTTTGTTTCTAAGAAGAATGGGTGAAAAAATATCAGCACATATTGGTGTAACTCAGGGATACAACAATTTCTTTAAAGGATGATGTGGTTGAAGGATGATTCCAGTTTGTTCTCTGGAAGGCTTAGACTCAAGTGACATCAGTTTGTCTTTCAGACTGTCCACTTGGAATGCGGAAGCTGCTGAACAGGCTTAAACATTTCAGTCGTAGACACTGGGATGAGCCTGCCACCAGCTGACAGAAGATCTAATTACTTCCTCACTTATATCTAACTTTATACCTTCATTAAGAGTCATCTTTGAAGAAAGTCATTGTATGTAATCGTAGCAGGAGGATCAATGAGAATAATGGCTCTGCCATATTGACCAGTCCCAGCTTTGGCTCATACACTATAGAGAGCAACAGCAATTAAAATGACCTTTAAAAAAATTGTGGTAAAAAACACATAACATTAAATCTACCCTCTCAGCAAATCTTTAAGTGTACAGTACAGTTAACTCTATTACAAGGATTACTGAAGTTCCTTAATTCATAATTTTATTACTGGCTTCATGAAAAGTATTCCCATCGTTGCCTCCAGGGTGACTTTTAGAAATCAAATGCAAGCAAGACTGGACATTGATTTCTTCTTGTTTTTTTTTTTTTTTTTTTTGGTGAGGAAGATTGGACCTGAACTAACATCTGTTGCCAATCTTCCTCTTTTTGCTTGAGAGAGATTGTCCCTGAGCTAACATCTATTCCAATCTTCTTCCTTTTTTTTTGAATGCGGGATGCCACCACAGCATGGCTTGATGAGCAGCGGGTAGGTCCGTGCGTGGGATCTGAACCCTCAAACCCCGGCCACCAAAGCAGAGCATGAGGACTTAACCATTACACCACTGGGCTGGCCCCCTGGACATTGATTTCTAAAGGGCAAATCTGCCTATATCTCCCCATAGACTGTAAATCTTCTGAAGGCTGGAAAGTGTCAATCAACCTCTGTTGCTTTAGCATCTGGCAAAGTGACTAGCATTTAGTAACTGGTCAATAAATATTTGTTGAGTAAATGCCATTGGAGACTTGGGGCTGACCCAGAGCTGCCAGTGTGACAAGGCATAGCCTCAGGGCTGAAAGGTAGTTAAAGAGGGATGTAACTTGATTGGCTGTGCTGTAACCAGACGTTCTGGGGTAATCTGCCTATGCACACTTTTTTCCCATTTTAAAAGAAAGACCTGAAACTTCAAAGGCTTGGTTTTGAAAAAAAAGAGTCTTTTGGTGGGAGAAAGCCAGCTGACCCTGCAGTTCCAAGTGACCCCCTGAATTTCATCTTTCACAGGCAGGGGCCCCAGTTTGATGACTCTTGCCACTGCCACGCTGGTCCACATGTTTAGAATGTTTTGGCTCAAGGGTCATCAGAGACTCTTTCTCTGGGTTTCCCTTAGCACAGCCCTGGCAAGCTGGATATTCGTAATGCTTTTACAAACTAAAAACTTCACCAGCCTCTGGCTTCAGTTAAATTCAAGTTAATAGTAATTTGCCAGTTCATTGGTTCTGTTCCTTCTTCAAACAGTGCCTCTTCTCCCTCTTTGTAGTGATGATATTAAAAATGTTTAACAATTGGAATGGCAAGGGCCTCGACTAATCAAACCAGAGGCTCAAGCTGTAACAGGCATTAACCCTTTAGTCTTTGGATCCCAGGGAGGTAAGTCTGGGACAGTGAAGGATAATGGGGTAGAGGGGGAAAGTGTACTTGGGGCACTGGCTAATTACCAATGAATGTAGAAGTATCTCAATATTTTAACAACTGTTAAATATTATAGCTGTACCTGTCCACACCAGATGAATGTCACCCCTGCCTCCAGACATTTCTGGGAGTTTTCAGTCTGTCATACATGACTTCCCCAAGAAGCCCAGCTAGCTGTCATGTGATGGGTGCTGGGCACTGTTGCCACTCCAGGAGTGGACAACCTCTCCCACAGTCACACTGGCCTCATCTGATCATGGCTGCAGTTTTTCCCGGGTTGTTTAATTTCTGGAACACTAATTCCTCTACTAGACTCTAAAACTGCTTCTGCTCTTGCCTGACAGACCCTGTGGTCTTCGGTAGGCATCCAAGCTACCTTGGGCTCCTCTCAATACTATCACCAAAGTCTTAAAGCCCTCATGGTGGAGCCGGCCCCGCAGTGGCCGAGTGGTTAAGTTCCCACACTCCACTTTGGTAGCCCAGGGCTTGCCAGCCAGTTCCAATCCTGGGCGCGTACATGGCACTGCTCATCAGGCCCTGGTGAGGCGGCGTCCCACATGACACAACTGGAAGGATTCACAACTAAAAATACACAACTATGTACCAGGGGGGCTTTGGGGAGAAAAAGGAAAAATAAATTTTTTTTTTAAAAAAAAGCCCTCATGGTATTCTGATTTTCTGGACATCTATGGTAAAATGGGGAGAATGCCTCTTTTTCTCTTTAAATTCTTTTTGAGAGGAGTACCAAAAATAGCATTTTTGAAGATTCTTACCAAATAAAATAAATAAATAAGTAAAATAGCATTCACAAGCATCCTACGTGACGGCCAATTATCCTCATTTTACGGAGCCTCAGTTACACCGCTCTAACTGGTGACGCCAAGAATCAAACTCTCATCTTTCTGATGCTTTTCCACTGCTAGGGTCAAGTGCCCACCATACAGTCTGTCACACAGTAGGCCACTCAATCTTTAAACATTTATAATTTCAAGTTTGGTTATCATGGTTCGTCCTAGGGTCTGATCTCCCCTCGGTGCACCGGCAAAATTTAGTTTTGGCCCCCCATGCCGAGGACTAAATTCTCCCCTCCCCCGAGAGGAGCTCAGTCTGGGTTTATTGTGACCTTACAGTACTGTGAACAAGAGCCCAGCCCGTGACGGGGCGCGAGGCGGCGGCTACTCCCGTCGCCAGCCCTCCACCTCCGCCTTCGCGCCCGTCCCCGCGGGGCGTCCTTAGCAACGCGCGCGCTCACTACGCGCCCCGCCCAGTCCGCGCGGCTAGGCGCGGGGCGCGAGGCGGTCTTTGCGCCTGCGCGCGGCCACAACCGCCAGTCGGCTCTCTGCCCCGCCCCGCCTGCCCCCCTCCTCTCTTCTCCTCCTCCTCCTCAGCCTCCTAGAGCCAGACACCAATATGGAGCCTGAGGACCTGCCGTGGCCCGGCGAGCTGGAGGAGGAGGAGGAGGCGGCGGCGGCGGCGGCGGAGGAGGCGGGGAACTTGGACCAGGACGAAGTGTCAGTTGTGGAGGAGGCGGAGGAAGAGGAGGGACGGGAGCTGGACGCGGACTACGAGAGTCAGCCTCGGGAGAGTACTGACGACGAGGACGACGAGGAGGCCAAGGCCTGGCTGCAGGCGCGCCCGGGCGCGACTTTTCCTCCGCCGCCGCTGCCGAAGCACCGCTACCTGGAGGGCGAGCGGACCTGGCCGGAGAAGGTGAGCTGGGCCGGGGCGAGGTGTGGGCCGCCGTCGGGGCCGGGGCACGGGTCATCCCTGGGCGCTCTGCCTGCCCTCTGCCCCGTCTGCCTCCTGTTCGCTGCCTGTCACGGTGCCTGACTAGGAACAAGCGCGCTTTTAAGGGCTTCTGGGCCCGTCTCGCCTCCTGGGCCGCGACGCTTGCCCAGGTTCTGTCTGACTACTCCAACTCTCCGGTTCTTTCTGACAAAGACCTCTCTTGTTTCCTCCCCCTCGGTGGGTCCCGGGCCTTTTGAATGACACCAGATGTTCAGAGGAGGCCGTATTCCCAGTGTGTATCGTTACGAAGTCCTTTTAGGGGAGGAGGTGGGGCTTCTCGTGCCTGAAGGAGGGGAAAAGGGCTGGGTAGGAGTGGAGAGAGTGGTTACCTGGGAACTATCTTGTTGGGGAGACAATTTGGAGCTGAGTCTGCAGGACTCCCCTTGAGGGAGTAGTGTGGATTATGTACACCGCATGATTAGTCAGTCTCAAGAGGCTCCTCGCCGACTGTACTTCTCTGGACCCTTGTTTGTAGCAAGTAAGGGGTCCCCTGCCGGTAGGAGGGGCTTAGCTTTGCAGGAGGTTTATGCTGCAGCTCCAAACAGTCTGGAGAACGAGAAAGCGCAAGGAAATTTCAGTGTGGAGGAGGAGCTCATTTTATAGTTGAAAATAATTGCATTTAATTGATTGCTTTTCAGGGAGGAAAAAACGTTTCCTACACAATTCGGATATCAAGTCTTCAGACATTTATTAAGTTTCTAATCTGTGCAAGGTACCTTGCGGAGACAAAAAGAAGCCTAGGGTTTATTGTCTAGGACTGCTCTTTAGACAAGATGTAAACTGTGCAGAGTGCAAGAACAATGCACAACAGTCGAAAAGACAGAGAAAAGGCTATATGGACCTGTGCTGTTCAGTACTGTAGTCACTAGCCCTGTGTGGCTCTTTACATCTTAATTAGTTAAAATTAAATAAAATTAAAAATTCCGTGCCTGTGTTGTACTAACCACTTTTCACGTGCTCAGTAGCCACACTTGACTAGTGGCTGCCCTATTGGACAGTGCAGATATAGAATAGATCCATCATCACAGAAAGTTCTATTGGACATTGATACTATAGACTGTTGATCATTGAAGAGCAATAGTTGTTTTGCCTGGTAAATAGTTCAGTGGGTACTTAATTCATTGAGCATATATTAGTGAGTACTCACCATGGGCCACACATTGTGCTGGATGCTAAGGAACCTTGGTGAACCCAAACTTTTTTTTTTATTGAGTTCATAGTAGTTTACATCATTGTGAAATTTCACTTGAATGTTATTTCTTGTCCGTCACCACTTATGTGCTCCCCTTCACCCCCTGTGCCCTCCCCCCACCCTCCTTCCCCTGGTAATCACTAAACTGTTTTTAGTCCATGTGTTTCTTTATATTCCACATATGAGTGAAATCATCTGGTGTTTGTCTTTCTCAGTCTGGCTTATTTTCTTAGCCTAATTCCCTCCAGGTCCATCCATGTTGTTGCAAATGGGATGATTTGTCTTTTTTTGTGGCTGAGTAGTATTCCATTGTGTGTGCATGTGTGGGTGTATATATATATGTGTGTATGTGTGTGTGTGAGTGTGTATATACCACATCTTCTTTATCCTGTCATCGATCGATGGGAACTTGGATTGTTTCCATGTCTTGGCTGTTGTGAATAGTGCTGCAATGAACATAGGGGTACATATGGTACTTTGGATTGTTGATTTCAAGTTCTTTGGATAAATACCCAGTAGTGGGATAGCTGGGTCATATGGTGTTTCTGTTTTTAGTTTTTTGAGGAATCTCCATTCTGTTTTCCATAGTGGCTGAATCAGTTTGCATTCCCACCAGCAGTGTACAAGGGTTCCGTTCTCTCCACACCCTCTCCAACATTTGTTATTTTTAGTCTTAGTGATTATAGCTATTTTGACAGGTGTAAGGTAGTATCTTAGTGTAGTTTCGATTTTCATTTCCCTGATGATTAGTGATATTGAACATCTTTTCATGTGTTTCTTGGCCATCTGTATATCTTCTTTGGAAAAATGTCTGTTCATATCCTCTGCCCATTTTTTGATCGGGCTGTTTGTTTTTGTGTTGTTCAGTTGTGTGAGTTCCTTACATATTGTGGAGATTAACCCCATGTTGGATATATGATTTGCAAATATTTTCTCTCAATTGGTGGGTTGTCTTTTTGTTTTGATCCTAGTTTCTTTTGCCTTGCAGAAAAGCTCTTTAGTCTAATGAAGTCCCACTTGTTTGTTTTTTCTTTTATTTCGCTTGTCTGAGAAGACATGGTGTTCGAAAAGATCCTTTTAAGTTCGAAGTCAAAGAGTGTACTACGTATATTATCTTCCAGGAGTTTTATGGTTTCAGGACTTATTTTCAAATCTTTGATCCATTTTGAGTTTATTTTTGTGTATGGTGTGAGATAATGGTCTGTCTTCATTCTTTTGCGTGTGGCTGTCTGATTTTCCCAACACCATTTATTGAAGAGACTATCTTTTCTCCATTGTATTTCTTGGCCCCTTTGTCAAAGGTTATCTATCTGTCCATAGATGTGCGGTTTTATTTCTGGGCTTTCAGTTCTGTTCCATTGATGTGTGTGCCTGTTTTGTACCAGTACCATGGCTGTTTTGATCACTATGGCTTTATGGTACATTTTGAAGTCAGGGATTCTGATGCCTCCAGCTTTGTTCTTTTTTTCTCAGAATTGCTTTAGCAGTTCGGGACTTTGGTTGCCCCATATGAATTTTAGGCTTCTTTGTTCTATTTCCGTGAAGAATGTCATTGGTATTCTGATTAGGATTGCATTGAATCTGTAGGTTGCTTTGGGTAGTATGGACATTTTAACTATGTTTGTTCTTCCAGTCCATGTGCGTGGAATCTCTTTCCATCTCTTTATGTCATCATCTATTTCTTTCAGTAATGTCTTATAGTTTTTATTGTGTAAGTCCTTCACCTTCTTGGTTAAATTTACTCCTAGATATTTTATTCTTTTTGTTGCAATTGTAAATGGAATTGTATGCTTGAGTTCTCTTTCTGTAAGTCCGTTATTAGAATATAGAAATGCAACTGATTTTTCTAAGTTGGTTTTGTACCCTGCAACTTTATTGTAGTTGTTAATTATTTCTAATAGTTTTCTGATGGATTCTTTAGGGTTTTCTATATATAAGACCATGTCATCTGCAAACAGTGAGAGTTTCACTTCTTCACTCCCTATTTGGATTCCTTGTATTCCTTTCTCTTGCCTAATTGCTCTGGCCAAAACCTCCAGTACTATGTTGAATAAGAGTGGTGATAGAGGACATCCTTGTCTGCTTCCTGTTCTCAGAGGGATGGCGTTCAGTTTTTCCCCATTGAGTATCATGTTGGCTGTGGGTTTGTCATAAATGGCCTTTATTATGTTGAGGCAATTTCCTTCTATCCCCATTTTACGAATTTTTATCATAAATGGCTGTTGGATCTTGTCAAATGCTTTCTCTGCATCTATTAAGATGATCATGTGGTTTTTATTCCTCAGTTTGTTAATGTGGTGTATCACGTTGATTGATTTGCGGATGTTGAACCATCTCTGTGTCCCTGGTATGAATCCCACTTGATCATGATGTCTGATCCTTTTGATGTATTGCTGTATTTGGGTTGCCAGTATTTTGTTGAGGATTTTTGCATCTTTGTTCATCAGCGATATTGGCCCGTAGTTTTCCTTCTTTGTGTTGTCCTTGTCAGGCTTTGGTATCAGAGTGATGTTGGCCTCATAGAATGTGTTAGGAAGTGTTTCATCTTCCCTGATTTTTTGGAATAGCTTGAGAAGGATAGGTATTAAATCCTCTCTGAAAGATTGGTAGAATTCCCCAGGGAAGCCGTTTGGTCCTGGGCTTTTATTCTTTGGGATGCTTTTGATTACTGTTTCAATCTCTTTACTTGTGATTAATCTATTCATATTATCTATTTCTTCTTGATTCAGCTTTGGGAGGTTGTAAGAGTCTAAGAATTTATCCATTTCCTCTAGATTATTCATTTTGTTGGCATGTAGCTTTTCATGGTATTCTCTTATAATCCTTTGTATTTCTGTGGTGTGCATTGTTATTTCTCCTCTTTCATTTCTAATTTTATTTATCTAAGCTTTCTCTTTTTTTTCTTTGTAAGTCTGGCTAGGGGTTTGTCAGTTTTGTTTATCTTCTCAGAGAACCAGCTCTTTGTTTCATTGATCCTTTCTACTGCCTTTTTGTTTCAATAGCATTTATTGCTGCTCTGATTTTTATTATTTCTCTTGTTCTCCTGACTTTGGGCTTTGTTCTTCTTCTTTTTTTTTTTTGAGGAAGATCAGCCCTGAGCTAACGTCTGCTGCCAATCCTCTTCTTTTTGCTGAGGAAGACTGGCCCTGAGCTAACATCCACGCCTATCTTCCTCTACTTTATATGTGGGACGCCTGCCACAGCATGGCTTGCCAAGTGGTACCATGTCTGCACCCGGGATCCAAACCGGCGAACCCCAGGCTGCCAAAGCGGAATGTACGCACCTAACCACTGTGCCACTGGGCCGGCCCCTGTTCTTCTTTTTCTAATTCAGTTAGGTGTAGTTTGAGAATGCTTATTTGGGGTTTTTCTTGTTTGTTAAAGTGAGCCTGTATTGTGATGAATTTCCCTCTTAATATGGCTTTTGCTGCATCCCATATTACTTAGTACGGTATGTTTTCATTTTCATTTGTCTCCACATATTTTTTGATTTCTCCTTTAATTTCTTCAGTGATCCACTGGTTGTTTAATAGCATGTTGTTTAGTTTCCACGTCTTTGTCCCTTTTTAAGCTTCTTTCTTGTAATTAATTGCTAGCTTCATAGCATTGTGATTGGTAAAGATGCTTGTTATTATTTCAATCTTAAATTTATTCAGGCTTGCCTAGTTTCCCAACATATGGTCTATCCTTGAGGATGTTCTGTGCACACTTGAGAAGAATGTGTATTCTG